TTAAGCATCTTGATTTTGGGAAGATAATGCGTAACTAGTACATCAACATTAAAATAGCTCGTTAATGATGTAGGCATTTTATAAGACCTTATCAAATTAAAAGTGAGTAACCTTATCATTGATATAAGTCGTAAGTCACTATAATTGTATCAAAGATAAATAATAAACTCCATCAAGTCTCAATTTATAGTATATTTTAATTCAACATGTCTAGGCCAAATGGAAATTTTGTTCTAAGCAGATGCAAAACATCGGGCCTCCCTAATCATTGCTTATTAGTTTTTCAAAAACAATTAAAAACAATTATTCTACATGTTAAGCAATTTTACTTTAACAACATGCTTAATATATTACTTTTGGTTTGCGTATATAAATGTTTTCTGGGTAATCGTTGTTGTTTAAAATACTTGGTATCTCGGTTGCAGAGGTCATAACACTTGCGACTTTTTAATTAGCACTAATGATTCGGCTTTTTCGTGGTTGTCCATCAGCATCTTTTAGGGCCTTTTATGCAGGTTATTCTTCAACAACGCCAAAAGATTATACACTTTTAATTACTAAAGATGATGTTCAAAATTTTTGTACGAAATGTATAACATCAGTTGGAGGAAAGCCTTCACATGCTGAGCAACTTGCTAATCTTTTGGTTGCCGCAGATTACCGTGGTCATTATAGTCACGGACTCAACAGAATTGGTAAAAAATAATCAGTTTATTTTTCAGAAATGTATGTTATTGACATTGAGAAGGGCATTTGCGCTGTTAATAAAGAGCCTGCTATTCTTAAAGAGACACACTCAACCTCTTTTGTTGAAGGAAATAATGTGTTGGGTCCCGTTGTAGGAAACTTTTGTATGAATATAGCAATAGAAAAAGCCAAAAAGACTGGTGTCTCTTGGGTGGCGGCAAAAGGTATATAATTGTGCCTTATTCTGTTAGGCTCTAACCATTTTGGTATTGCTGGATGGTATAGCATGATGGCTTCCGCTCAAGGTTTGCTGGTAAGCAAAACATTTAAGGTTACTAAAAAAAGCATTGTAATCTAGTTTTTAACAAAATATTTTTTAACAGGAAACTTTTGCTACATTTTTAGGGTCTTGCTGTCACCAACACTTCACCTATTGTAATACC